GAAAAAGCGCCCGAGCGGCCCATCCGGCGCGCCCGGGGCTGAGGGGTTGCCGGCCCCCCTTTTCCTTGCCCCTGCCTTTTGGCCGGCGTGGCGCGGATGGCTTGGGCTTTGTGGCGCCTGGGGGCGGCGGGTTTGGTCTGGTTGGGCGGTGCTTTTCCGCTGGGCGTTGGGCTTCTGTAAGCCAGGGGTGGGGCTTGTGGTGTTGCGCTTGGGGCTTTCCCGGTTTGCTTGATGGCATTTTGGTTTTCTGTGGCCCAGCAAGGTGGTTTGCAGGCGCCGCGAATGAAAGGAATGCGGGGGATTGTTTTGTTCTGGCAGACTCTATTTTGTTTTAGTTTTGCATTAATGCGGCTCTCATCCTTTTTTTTTTTTGGCGTGGGGATGAAAAATAAAAAGAAAACAGATGAAACAGATTGTGCTAGGTGCGCGTTTCGGCTTGAATTGGCTTTTTAAGTCAGAGAGAGAATTGTAGTTATTTTGTTTATACTGATTCTCGGCCGGTTGTTTATTCAAAATAATGCTGCATGGTGCATTGCGATTTTTTTTTTGGGCTTTCTCTCACCGCTGGGCGCTCGTAAACCTCGGTGTCTCTACTGGGCCAGCCCCGTCCTTCCAGAAGGCCCAAATTTCGTCAAGGAGGGGCCTTGGCAGTGCATGGTCCCATGTTTTAAACAGGTGCTCGTAGCGACCTTCCTCTTCTTCAGAATGCATCCAGCTCTCTTCCGCTAATTTGCTTTTTTTCCAAGGGACGTACTGTAAAAGGAGGTGCGGCAAAGCCACAACAACTGCGTTCAACATTTTGGGACGCTCCCGGAATAGTTTCATCACGGCGTCCACGATATACCAATAATTCAGTATCTGCTGTTGCTGTTTCCTTTCGACGGCTTCCGCAAAGCACTCGTCCAACACCTCCATGACTTTCACCACGGCCAGGGGACTCTGACACAGCGTGTCGCAAATGGTTTGCACCACTGCCATGGAACGTTGGGTGCATCTCCCAGAAAACTCTAGTGCTATTATGCGCCGCAAAAGGTCCTTTAGGGCGGCGTGGCTGCACCCGTTCTCTCCTGCAGGCGGTTCTTGCTGCTGTGGGCTTGCTGTGGTGTTGTTTTCGGTGGCTTCTCTTTTTTCATTTTTTTGTTGGCTGCTGTTGGGGTGCCCTTGGGGGTTTGTGGGTGCGGCGCCTCCCGTTATCGCGTTTGTCTGGGTCTGGCGGCGCGCGTCGCCGTTTGGAGGGAAGGGGCCTTTATTGACGAACGGCTCCGCCGTTGGTGCGGCGTATGGCCTGCCGTTGGCGTAATATGCGGCCGGTGCCGCGTGGATGTTGTCCCTCGCGTTTCCGCTGAGGTGCGGGTTTCCCCGCCCTGTGCCCGACGGGGTGGGCCGCTGGGCCTCCGTCCGGGCCCTTTTCCGCTCTTCCGCGGAGGCCCGCCCGCTTTCATAAATAGGGAGGAGCCCTGCTCCTCTGTAACCCATATGGGCTGAAGAACTTTCCTGCTACTCTTTTTTTTTCTTGATTTTTGGAATTGGGGGAAAAAACGGTTTGGTCTGTAGCCAGGGGCTGTTTCGTCGTCGTGGCGGGGTTTTGCTCCGCGCAGGGGGGAAGGGGGGGCGGTGGCCGAACTTCGCTTCGAATTTCGCTCTTCCTTGGCTGGCGGGGGCCTCGCCCCGACCCGACCCCAGCGGCGAAGGGACGCCACCGGAACGAAAGAGCAAAGCGCGCATCGAGTCAAGCGCGCCGGCGGCCACCCCCCCTCGAAAAACACCGCAAAACAGAAGCGAATAGTGGAGAGGGTGTTGCTTCGAAAAACCCGACGCGCGGGTGGGCGTCTTGCGCCCGGACTTTTCCAACTCCCTTTTTTTTTTCTCTTCCAAGGCGAAAAACAAACAACGAAAAAAATAACCAACTTCCAATAACAAAGGGGGCCCCCGTTTCCTCCGGCGGTTTCTCATTGGGAAGGGGGCTGGCTGCCGTGCGCCGTGCCGCTCGGCGGTGTTTGGTGAAGGGGAAGCGCGCTCAAGAACGGCCGTCCGTGGACACCGAAAGGAATGAGAGAGGCGCAACGGCTCGGTAAAGCAACAAACAAACAAGCACAACCACACGCTTTCTTGCCTTCCGTCGATCTCTCACTGGGTCGCTGGCGTCCGGTGGCCTCGTTCTCGCGCTCTGAACTGTTGATGCTGGAGGAATTCGCGACGCAAGGACGGGGAAGGTGAGTTTCTTTTTGAATGGTCTTTTCGGGCAGGCCTGGAGTCAGTCTCTCTCTTTGACAAAAGGGCTCAACAAATAAAAGCAAAAACAAAACACGACTCCAAAGTCTTCCTGTCGACATGTCAAGGCCCGCAGGGTCCGAGGAAAAAACAACAACACAAACGCACTCCGTTGCCACCTGTGAATAGTCCTCGTC